TCGACTACTGAAAATCATTGGAAAGAGCATTTCTGTGCCACTGGTCCACATATTTAATCTGAGCTTCTCAAGTGGCGTGTTTCCAGACAACTGGAAGACGGCTGCTGTGTCCCCTATACATAAGAGTGGATCCAAAGATGAACCCAAAAACTACAGGCCTATTTCTCTTTTGGGCACATTGTCTAAACTACTTGAAGGTTTGGTAAACGAGCGACTGGTCACGTTTTTTGAAAAACATGATCTTATGTCAAAGTCACAGTTCGGCTTCAGAAGACACAGATCAACGGAGGACGCTGCCTTGCACCTTGTGGAGACTATCGTTGGTCATCTCGATGTCGGCCGGCCTTGTGCAGGGATCTTCCTTGATATAGCAAAGGCCTTCGACACGGTGTCCATCACAATCCTGCTGAGAAAGCGTGAGATGATGGGAGTGAGAGGGGTGGCTGGGAACTGGTTTCGAAGTTACTTGACGGGAAGGAAACAGGGTATTAAAATCGACTGTCTTGCCAGTAGCATAAAACCAGTGTACTTTGGTGTCCCCCAAGGAAGCATATTGGGGCCATCATTATTTCAAGTCTACATCAACGATTTGTTATCTATCTCTTTACCCAATTCCTCAGTCGTATGCTACGCTGATGATACGGCCGTGATCTTCTCCGACAAAACATGGCCTGAGTGTATTCGAAAAGTTGAACAAGGCATGTCACATATTTCAAACTGGTTAAATCACAACTTACTAACCTTAAATGTTTCGAAAACTAAACTCTTGTGTTTCCATAAAACGAAAGCCTCAGCCTCTAGGGACGGGGTGACTCCGACTATTAGAGTTCATACTTGGGAACATCATACGAGTTCCAGCGCATTGGGAGCGCGGCGGGCCGACTGTAATTGCGAACAGATTCTTCGATCAGCCACCGTACGCTATTTGGGCGTGACCGTGAATGAGAGGTTGACCTTTGCAACTCACATTGAAGTAACGTGTGCCAGGGTGCGCAAACTGATACATACCATGAAGCTTCTCAGAGAAGCTGCAGATTTGCGCCTGCTAACAGAAATTTACCTCGCACTGTGTCAATCCATCTTAAGCTATTGCATGTTGGTGTGGGGAGGGTCTGCATCCTGCTGTATGATCAACCTGGAGAGAGTCCAAAGAAGTGTGCTAAAGGTGATGTTGCACAAGCCCTATCGTTACCCCACAGTCTCGTTATTTGAAGACGTGAAGGTCCTAAGTGTGCGGAAACTGTATATTCTAAAAGCTGCCCTTAATATGCACGCGAAAGTTCTTACCTCTCCGGAATATCCTTCTTTACTTAGGAATCGCGTATTTAAAGTAAAAATGCGACCGGTAGCAACAATATTTGCCCAACGCTTTGGGACCTTTGCATTTCCTTTCATTTACAACAGAATTGCAAAAATATGCGACACTAAAGAGAGGTCTATTTACAAAGCGAAGAGGATTATTGGGTCACATATGCAGTCTTGGAACTATGAACATACAGAAAGCTTCCTAAGAGTCGTTAGGTGAGTGGGTTGGTTGTGGTTTTAGTTGTTGCCATTCATTGTTTTGACAGGAGTTGTCAAATTGGAGTGACTGCCTGTTGGGGTGGCTACTGGTGTGAGTTTCCAATTGTGAAAAAATTACATTTTCATTCCCGTGAAGCACCTTAGTAGTTGGTAATTATTATTATTAAATATAAATACTTATTTTTGTAATAATATGTTGATCACAATTATTTTAAATTCATGCTATTTTACTTAATACAATCTATAATAATTCCTATTCTTATGTTAGATTTAATAGATATACAAGTTCTTATTATTTGTATAATATTATCGTAGGTAACGAGTAAATTGAAGCCGTAAAAAGGTCGCCACAGGACAGGCTTAGCCTAGTGTGGGACCACCTGTAATGACTCACAATGTTTTCAGGCATGATATCGCGTTAACAATGCATGTTTTTGTTAATGTCTAACACACACTTAATGTTCATTTAGCATAAGCATCATGTTCTTGTCTTAAAAATGAAAATATGTAAAGTATTTTGTTTTTCTGTGTGTTTGTGATGTCAATAAACATATTTTTATTCTTATTCTTATTCTAGATAAGGTCTATGCCAATGGCCTACAATCGGTTCATGACCTCAAAGCTGGAATTCGTGCAAATTGGTTATGGAAAATTTCATGTAAAGAATATGGTCCTGTAAGCGCAATCGTGGCGGCCATTTCAGTAATATTGTTTTCCATTATTAATGGCATACCCTCCTCTTTACAAATAAATAAACATCCGATGATTTCGCTTAAAAATACTCTTTTTTTTACATATCAAAATGAAACCTCTTATTGGAAGACCCTTTAGTAATATACACACATCAAAAAAAGTTTGCGATCACTTCGAAAAACTGAAATCTTTTTTGTTACTGTAGATTATATTATGTTTTTTTCTTCTTTTTAGATTCTTTATTTAAAAATAAATTAGAACATAAAACAATGACCCCGTTCAATTGTTTTTTCATATAAAAAGGCTTTCAGTCCTAGCTTATGGCTCTTTCAGAAATCTGATTTAGTCAATTATAAGCGATTCAAGATATTTTTCGCGGAAAGTTGTGATTGAAAAAATGCCAAGAGGATTATCAGAGGTTTTACGAGCTAGAATAGTAACTTTGAGGGAAGAAGGATACACCACGAGAGTAATAGCACGCAGACTTGCTATATCCCAATCCTGTGTCGTGGCTACGTTGCAGAGGTATCACGGAATGGGGAATTTAGCTGACCGACCCCGCAGCGGTCGCCCAACTGTTTTGACAGCTGCCCAAAAGCGCTATATTAGATTGCTGGCAGCCCGTGATCCAACAATCAACGCCACTAAAATAAAAGCAGAAGTCAGGGCCGCCTCTGGGCTTGAAGTTAGCACGCACACCGTTCGCAATTGCTTGCACCAGGCTGGATTACGAGCACGGAGGTCTTGGCGAGCTCCGCTCAATTCCCGGCAACGTCAACAACGAAGATTGCAGTGGGCTAGACTTCGGCAAAATGAAGAAGGTGAGGACGAAAACATTTGGCAAAACTGTCTCTTCGTTGACGAATCCCGAATCAGCACTCATCCAGATAACCGACGTGTCCGTGTCTGGAGAAGACCAGGCGACCGTGAAAGATAAAGAACTGCCACTGGAACAGTTCAGCAAGGCGGAAAATCGGTGTCCTTTTGGGGTGGCATTATGGTTGGAGCTAGAACGCCTTTGATCCCGTATCGGGGCTTCATGACAGCAGACATGTACAAAGCAGTTGCTATTGATGATATCGTCAGACCATTCCGAGTAAACCATGGGCACCAATTTGTACTGGTCGATGATAATGCGCCCGCACATCGAGCTCAACGAGTCAATGCTGCTCTTCAAGAATACGATATCACACGATTAGACTGGCCTGCCGGCTCGCCCGACTTAAACCCAATAGAGCACGCGTGGGATGCTCTTAAACGAGCAGTATGGAACCGTGAGCCACGTCCCCAGACTGTTCCAGAGCTCAGGGAAGCCGCTATTGAAGAATGGGATAGGTTACCCCAGGAAATGCTGGATAATTTGATCCTCAGCATGCCCAGGAGGATCTTCGCATGTATTCGAGCCAGGGGAGGAGTTATTTTATATTGAATTCACACTTTTTAATAATAAATTGTTGTTTAAGTTTAATTAAACAGTCTTTTTCTTTCTATGAAATTTCTATCACTATTACATTATGATTAATGGCTCAATTTTTTTAAATAAATAATAAAAAATAGTTTTATATTTTAATTTCAAACAGGGTATTCCTATTTAAAGAAAGCATACAACATAGATTTTTTCTTGATAAAGTTAAATTTAAAGAATTATAAGAGCTTATGCTATTGATCGCAAACTTTTTTTGATGTGTGTAGTTCTGCGAGGTTTTCAGTATTTTATAAATAACCCAGTATACTAACAACCTTTTTAAGAACATTCTCGTTTCCCTACGAGAACGTCCTTCGTGGTTTTTCACTTCCAAAATTTACAACAAGGCCGCCTTAAAAAAGCTGACCTATATTTTATATCAGAACAGCACCTACTCAAATGTTAGTTTATTGTGTGTATAATACAAATAATTTCCCAATGTTTTGACTAATTTGATTAGTTTCAAACAAGTCCGCGGTTATAGGTTTTAACATAAACAATTAGTAATGAACTCACCTTGTATTATAACTCCGATGGTAAGCACAACATATAAACATTTCTTGAGTAATATTATTTTATTTATCTTATCCTGTCACCTACTTTAAAAGTGACGATTTTAGAATTCAATTTTCATAAGAAACATTGAATAAAATCAAAACAAGCAGTTTGGGACAAAAGTAGCCGTGAGCATATTTTATAACAGTTTTATTTAACATACGTGTACCGAAATGCTTAATTGATGTTAGATACGTTCACTACGTTTATATCTTCTAATGCAGGCGACTATACCTATGCTGTTATCTACTTAATTACGAGTCCAACTCTATGGAACTTGTGTGATATACAAAATATTCATCCACAAATAACTACAGAGCAACCAAACACGCTCCTACGACTGAATACCAATAATATTACCTAATTATCAATCTAAAATGTCTTCATAACAATGTTGTTTGTAACCCTTTAGAAGCTTCACGTATTTCTTTTGATCGCTATAACTTTCTAAAGTCGCCATTAAATCACAAAACGCCACTAGGTTTTAATAGCATAAGGCATAGAAAGCATATAAGATACCCAATCTAAACCTACCATCTGTTATCTTTTTTTGTTATCTTTTTGAACTTCAACAACCTCGGCTGCTCGGCGATAAATACCGTGGACGGTAGGTTAGATTCCGAGTTCAATTTCAGTTTAGGATATTAACTTTGGGTGGTGCCTTGGAGTAATTACACTGCTGTGGTACTCAGCGTAGGGAAGTCTCTAGTTTACGACCATTAAAACAAAGCTACAAAAAACAAATGTTCTGATCTTAACTAACTCCTGAAGGTCGTCCTCAACGGTTCCAGGGTAGGTTCACTTAAATCTTTCTCGAACAACTCTTTAGCCATCTTCATGACGACAGTATCCTTCAAGGCTAGCTTTTTCGGCAGGGCTGCAATTCGCTCCTGCTCCAGTTTGTCCTTATCTATGTCGCCGGTGGCGTTGTCACTCTTTACGTCCACTCGGCATGGTTTCTTCACGCGTGGTTTGAATGGGCGTGTCTTGAATTCTACATGCAAACGAATCACAGTAAGGTAGAAAGCTAACACGAATGATCAGCAACAGATTTCACTTAATTAATTCAAATCCAAATATAGCTTTATTTCAAAGGTAAGCAAATTACCGTCGTGTTTTGGGAATCTTGTGGCGTGACCGGGTTACAAATGTAGAAGTCAATAAAATGAAGAAAAAAGTGGAGATTATGAACACCATTAAGTGCAGGAAGATGTCATACAGTCACGTCATGAGCAACAATAAGTACTTACAAATTACACCAGCTTATCATCCAGCAGTGGCGGATTTGCCCTAAGGCCCAGTAGGCCCAGAACAGGGCGGCCAGATTTTTTAGTCACACAGCCACCGAAACAATGAATTTATTGCAAACCAAATTTCCCGATCGCATAATTTCACGAAATTCCGCCGTTACGTGGACAGCTCAATCATGTGATTTAACACCGCTCGATAATTTTTTATGGGGTTATGTTAACGACAGAGTCTATGCGGTGTCAATCGAATCGATTGCAACCTTAAAACTCAATATTCGTAAAGTGATTAACGTAGTTTTGTCAAAAAGTGATTAAAAACTTTGATGGAAGAATCGACGTCTGTAAGTGTGGTCGTGGTGGACATTTATCAAATATCATTTTTCATTCATAATTGCCAAACCTTACTTTTTTAATACAATAAAAATTTTAATTATTGTCATCTAATTATTAATACAAAGATCGAACACTCAGAAAAAATTCCTTCGATCCGGTCGGATTCGAACCGACGTCTTCTTGCATACCGTGCCAGACGCTATACCAACTAAGCCACGGAACGAACCAACGGACCTCACGAATTTTTCTGTGTGCTTGCGTCGTGTCTTTGTACTTGGTCTTTCAACGACATTTTAGTCGTAGCGCCATCTATGAGAAATCTTTGACAGATTTATCACCCAGTTAGTACCTTTACAGCTACCAGTCCTGGCGAGAGATGTCGCTATTCACTGTATTCATTAAATTTTTATTGAATTGATATTCAATTATTTTTTTGTGAAATTACTCCACTAGTTTGTTATAATTATTAATACAAAGATCGAACACTCAGAAAAAACACTGAGAAAAAATTGTCATTTGAATTTCTTGTTTTATTTTGATTTACAAAACAAAGCTCTTGTTGAAAACTCCTTTATAATCACTACATCACTACATATTATCACTACCGCGTCTGTCTGTCTCTCTGATCGCGATAAACTCAAAAGCTACTGAAAGGATGGTAGTACTGACTACAAGGCCTGTCGCCCAGGGCCGCCTAGACTGCAAATCCGCCACCTCATCTAATGCAAAACCGCTGGAAAACAAAGTGTTGGTAGAAGGCGGTACTCCCGGTTGAAAATTTTAAGGGAGTGGTTCGGCTGCAGTACCACCTCACTCGTTATAGCGGCAACATCTAAAGTCAGGAGTGCCATGACGTTACCCAATCTCCGATAGGAGAGGACCCTCAAGAAGAAGAAATAAATTACACTTGAAATCGTCATATTGATTAAAAGATAGTACATATCTTTCGTAGTGGCTCTTGCTTTCTTGAGATGTAGTGCTACCGTCGCATATTGCGCACACAGAGGGTCACAAACGAAACCGTGCTACAGCGCATCCATATGTCCCGGAAAATGATGCCATCTATCAAAAGGCGCAAAATAGAATATCTTGGTCATGTGATCAGGAACGACAGGTACACGCTGCTGCAACTAATAATGATGGGCAAAGTGCAGGAAAAGCGACATGCTGAGCGAAGGAAGAAATCGTGATCCGAGAGTGGACCGGCATTGCCTCCGTCGGACAGTTGTTCCGGTAGGCTGCTGATAGTGACAAAAACAGCGAGCTGCCGGCCAACCTTCAGAATTGAAGAGGCACTTTAAGAAGAACCCTTTCGTAAAGCATGTCCCCTAACAGGAATGCGTAAGAAACTCCAGATGTTGCTGAAGAAAGTGCAAGTTTTCAGCGTGAAGTGACACTTATTTTACTGATGACATCTCGTGTATGATCCAAACATAGAAATGGAATTGTGCGAATTCTACCTACAGTTTGTGCTCAACCGTGAGGAATATTTCCGTACTAACCTTGATCGAGATGCGCGCAATATTCGTTGAAGTATGTGGACTGTCCGCGGAGGCTGCGCATCGTCTTTTTTATAAACGCTTTGATCTCCTCTTCCGACATTTCCTTCTGCGTGAGCACAGTAATAGGATCTTTGTTTACATTTAAAGTAACGTGTTCTACAGTGTACCTAATTGTCCAAGCCAAGTCTAGTTCATGTAAGAATCCGGACCAACTTTAGGCAATGGACATGATTTAGTGAATTTTGTTTTTGTATGAACATAAAAAAGATAATAGGTTTTTAAATAAATTAGAGTAACTGCTTACTTTAGCATGAGGAGAGTTTTAATAAGATCGCCTTCAGAAGTACTCTAAGCGAATGTTAGATGACGATACTAAGCTATTATTTTATTACTGGCGCACAATCGTTTAGTTGAAAGTTGTAACCATTTAAAGTAAATGAGATGAGTTTCTTAACGTTACTAAATTCAACTTTTACCAGACCAATGTTACGTAACGTAATTAAATGATTACAAAATGACCCACTTACATTTTCTGATCCTTTTTTTGGATCCAACCAAATTCCTTCCATCTTCGCCCATCTTTCCTCAGGTAGGCATCTGCGTAATTGAATAACAAGTGTAAATAATTACGTAAATTATTGTTTTCATAAAATAACGTACTATACAACTTATGAAAATTTTAAAAACTTACGGCCCTCGTTTGTTAATAGGATGTTGTTTGTACTCGTCGAAATATTCAGTTAAGAAAGACATTTTTACACTCTGCTTAATTTGAAACCAATAATGAATAATATAATCACAACATAGTCACAACAAATTTTATCTTCAAAATGACAGTAACATTGAAAAGTATCTTACGCAGAGCAAGTATAGTGTACCATCTATGCACAGAGCGAAGTTTTTTTTAAATTATTTTACTGCAAAAAGATTTTGTTCTATCGACGGAATCGCTTGATTCGAAAAGATCAAAGTACAAATCGTAAAGCCCGGTAAACGAATGCCGCGCAGAATTTTTCTTGCGTGATTCTTATTCTTTCATAAGCCAAAATTGCGAGATTGCATGTCTACCTTTGTTTGTCATGCCATCGTCAATAATTCATTCTGTCGCAAAACAATAGAGCCTTCTTATGTACTTTGTTGTAGCAGAATTATAAATTGCTTTCTTATTAATATAATTGATGAGCTGCAAGACTGTTCTCGCATCACCAAATTACTGCGCAGTTTTCGGGCCTACAGCCTTTAATTTTCCACCATCCTGAAACACTTCTTTCGCCCCATGAACGCGCAGAAATTCAGTTATGGGTAAATTAGATACTCTTTACTTGGACTTCCTTTAGGATGCCCTCAACTTGGTCATGGTAAGTTCAACTTGGTCGGCCATTCGAACTGTATATAATTACTAGAAAATTTAGTAAAATCGACTTTTGTTTGTTGAGTTTATTAATTAATTTATTTATTTATTTATATATACAATTTCACAGCATTACAGTTATTTTACCAAGGCACTGTGAAATCCATAAAATTAAAAACAGACATATTTTTTATTAGTTCACAGAAGACAGCCGTTCATCCATCCTCTCACATAACCTCAAACATTCATCACACACAACCGCCCATCTACTAGCAAAAACATCGCACTCAGGTGCCGATACGAGAAGCTCGTTTACGTAAAGCAAAGCGCGAATAAGCGGCGATTTTCTACGGGATACAGTGCGGGTCTCCTGCACTGCCAGCAGGTGGTAACTGCGAGGCCGTAAACTAAACTTGTTTTCTAAAGGGATGAACAAGCGCACCAGTTGCGCCACCACTTCTGGACAGTCTGAATTTCCACGCAAGGCACTGGCAGCAGTAGTCAGTAGCGTATAATTACGCCTTACCTCTGGAGAATTAAATCCCAAGAAGCCAAGGAGGAATTTAGTCGGGTATAAAAATGGGTAGTACCCATAAATTTTCTTATACAGAAATCTCAAGAACGTCTTTTGGATTTTCTCCAGAAGCAAGACGTAAGTGGCCTCATGTAGATTCCAAACAACTGAAGCTGCCTCAAGCTTACTCCTAACTAGAGCGGTGTAAACAAGTTTAATGACTCTGGTATCATAAAAGTCACGAGCGTTCCGGATAACAAACCCCAACCTCCTATAGCAATTGGCAGCTAGTGCTTTCATATGCTCATGAAAATTCAGATGCCTATCAAAAATGACGCCTAAATCTTTAATAGACTCGGGTAACAAGTTCAGTACCTAACAGGTATTTTGCATACTGAAGATTATAAGCGCGGCCAAAAGTCATGACTGAACATTTTTCAGTGTTGAAGAGAAGCCTGTTTTGAATGCCCCACTGATAAATACGGTTTATATCAACCTGAAGCGATTCACAGTCTGACAACTGCTGAATGCCGTAAATCAGCTTGAGATCGTCAGCATAGAGCAGGCATCTAGCGCATTTTGGTACTGAGGCCAGGTCATTTACCATAATGCCGAAAAGTAACGGACCCAAAATTGAACCCTGGCTGACTCCAGAACGGGTGTGGAATCTTTCCGAAACAAAGCATCCGTATTGTACATACTGTTGTCTGTTGCGTAGATAGCTAGCAAAGAACCTAAGCAATGTGGGCGAAAAGCCTATGTTGCACAACTTTCTTAAAAGCACGTCATTGTCAACACGGTCAAAAGCTTTTCGAAAGTCAAGGTACAAAACATCAACTTGTATTCCCTTATCCAGATGTTCAGAAATGGAATCAACCAGGGTCAACAAGTTTGTTTCATCGGAACGCCTCGGCCTAAAACCATGTTGAGAGTCGCAGAGATAGGGTTTTATTTGAGTGGCAATAAGTCTGTTCAATATTGATTCAAACAACTTTGCAGTTGAAGAAAGAATGGCAATTGGGCGATAATTTTCAATCCTGGTAGAATCATTCGACTTGGGGATAGGACGCACTCGTGTAACCTTCCATTGACAGGGGTACTCCCCAGTACTCAGAGCTAAATTAAAAATGTGGAGTAGCGGGAATTTTAGCCAGTCTTTGCATCTCTTCAAAATGAACGCCGGAAAACTATCTGGACCTGGGGCGCTTTGGGGCTTCAGACGAGCTATGTCTCGATATCAAACAGTGATATTTTACTAATATGTACATAATTAGCAGAGCGTGTAGAATCTTCGCGAATAACCTTTTCATAGTCAAGGAGGGGCTCATGCTTCAGGAAGACACCAGAGAAGAAATCGGAGAAGGCCTGCGCTGCCTCACTATCTTCATAAGACCTGCCTTCGTAAGTAACCTTACACTCGAAACCACCTTTGGATTTTAAGCTGTTCATATGTTGCCAGAAAGCACGGGGATCGCTACTTATTTTGGACTGAATACTGTGTAAGTAACAGTCGTATGCCAGTGATGTTCGCTGTTTAATATCTGCCCTGAGCTTTGAAAACTTAGCATAAACCGCACGGTCACCAGTACATTTCCACTCTCGATGAAGATTAGCTTTCAGCTTAATGTGTGTAAACAAGTCTTGTTAGACCTTACCTTCCTAGGTACGCATGCGTCAAAAATGCCGTACATCAACCGGTAAAAAAGCCTCACAGCAACGTTGACGTCGCGGGTCTCGAGGATTTCCTTCCAAGACACTTCGACACACAAGACAAATATTTGTGAGTTAAATTTAGTAGCAGTACCTAGAGTACTTATGATCGAGTTCGCCCAGGGAAGTGCTGCCACTTTACCTTACCTATTTCTGCCACCAACCAGTAGGTAATGTATGTTTTGAAGGGTAAGGGTGCTGGTGAAATTGCAGGCACATGGAACTTGTCAACGTATGTTTGGGTTCGGGCTTAGGCTTGGGAGCTTTGGTGACGTGCGCAGTGGCAGTGCCCCTCAGACCTTTGTGATTTAAAGCTCTGAGTGGTACCTACAGCAATTGCTAAGGACAGGCGTGCCGCTTACCACCAGGCGCACGGCTTGTTCGTGCCATCACTTATATCAAATCATATGATATCAAAAAACGAAATTAAAAAATTCGCGCCTGTACGTGTCACCAAGATTTGGTCAAATCGAGTTGCAAAAAGATTAAAATAGTCATTGACCTACCAAATAGGTCAATGGAAATAGTCGATAATGTTGTTCAAAAAGTTAAAAGTCTCCATTATTTTTTTCCCGTCCTCCTAAACAATCTCTAGAATCGGAGTCACAGACTGTTAGATGCTTCTAGGATGGAAATTAGATGTGATGGCAGTGCGTTCAAGATCACACCAATTTTGACATTTTGATCTTGGGACCGTTGTAAGTGAAACAATTTTTTCGTATCTAAATCTGATTTGATTGAACTTGGACTAAAGTTAACCCAACGGATACAGCGTAAGATAGTAAAAAAAACACTCCTCCAACTTTAAAATATGCGACCAATTTAACATTTTTCCTATTTTAGATCCGACTAATTCATAGGTTCCCACGTTCCCAAATGTGCCTCACCGCCTACTTAGGCAAGATAAAACGATTTCAACGCCCACCGCAACAAAAATAATTGAAAACGCGTATTTTTTTATATTAACTTAACACAAAAAAATCACAAGGAAAGATTAACTTCTATAGGAAAGGTTAGCAGTAATGTCGACCTGTTTTATGAAATTTCGAATAAAACCGTAACTAACGTTTTTTTAGTAATTAGATGAATAAGTAGAAGTTTTTACAATTAAGTGCAGATGCGGTGTCACCATAGATTGGGCACCTATATACTAAATTTATGGGTGTCACTTAGACTATTTTTCCATCCTCTAACCGGTGTCATCATACATTTTCAATATTTCTAAATTCGAGTAATTAAAAGAAATTGATATCTTGTTTCATACTTCTTGGTATTTCTAAAATAACTTTTAGTGAGGAATTTAATTTAATAATAAGCTCATTAAGAAGCAGATTGATTGAAAATGATAAAAAGAAAAAGAAAGATACAAAACATTGTAAGTCAATGATACAAAAGGACAATTTATGTTTGAGTACAGTCGCGTCCAAATGTGAAACTATGGACTAAATCATGAGTTTTACATGATAAGTAAATTTTTTTAAATTTAATATAACCACGCTGCAATAAGACACGCTCAAATTTTAAATAACCAAGAATTTTAACATGGTATCGCTAAATATACCTCATTCACATCAAGCTTGACACTTTGTACTTTGGACCGTTCTTATCGTAAGCGGCATAGAGTTAGATTTAAGCCTAGAGTGTAAAGCTTGACGTGCTCTTGACCCTGTACTAAGCTGGTTAAAGTCCAGTCGGATCAAATGAATTTTTCTTTGTGTTTGTTCGATCTTCTTAATAATAACACACTAATGGAATATTTTCACGAAAAAAAATAGATGAATATATACATTTTTTTTAAGTCGGCGCGTCGTTTATTGCATGGCGCTAGTGCAATAAAATTTAAAAAAATATGCTATACAACTTTATCTAAAAATTTTTTATCTACCCCCACTAGATGGCATTGTATTATAAATAGTATTATTGCTGACAAACAGATGGCACTATTCATAATTGATTAATTTTGTGAAATGTAATTTAAAATACAATCGTTATACAGCTGTAACAGCATGTAATTCCTGAACTACTATAGTAGTTGTAGAATACAGATAAAGCACGTTGTTAGTTGTCCTCAGGGTCTGACCCCTTCCTACTTAAGGAAATAACCTTTATTATAATTTTTAACATCTAATATTAAGGTAAAAACAAATGTCAATGTATTTAAAATAATCAAACTGCTGTAGTCAACTTCGTATTTTAATAGTTATGTATTTTACTCGCACTACAGACTAACGTCGTGGTTGTCACGAATGCCGCTAGAGGCCGCCAGTTGTTCCCCTCTCGAAACTTCATCATTTATTAAATAGCCATGACATTCAATTGTAATTATTTAATCAGTCAATTATTAAGCACTGAAAATACTATAGCACTTTAATACAATTAGGAGTAGTAAGTGCTATTTGTATTGAAAGTCATTTCAGTGAAATTTCATTTTGTGGTTATCAACGACGCCGCGAGATGCCACTACTGGCGAATTGCAGCGGATAACAGTTATTATGGATATAAAACTGGTACGATGCAACCGTCTTTCGGCGACACAGCCCCTGACTTATAACAAACGCTTCTACATCACGCCCCTACTATAACTATTTGCTGTTTACAGTATACGTGCATTTATGTTGTTTTAAATTCTAGGTCTTGGTACCGCCAACAGAAGCCATAGGAATAGATGTCCAGGTAATTTACACACCACAACAAACTTCATATAGATACCATACATTATGTGTGGGTTGCTTATGGGAAATAATGGCTTTAGGGTTGAGCTCATTAGGTCGCACGCGACCATATTTACGAAATAAAACCAAATAAAATATTTAAATCTAAGTGTGTATTAACTTCATCTGATCATGACATATAATACATGACGACATTTACAACATGTGATTTATTTTCTTTTTTATAGACATTCAATAAAAATTGGCATAATCTTTTATTTAAGGTACTTACTATTAGTATTTGAAGGTAGAGAAGAAAATAAGAGCACAAGTTGCTCTTGAGTAAAACTTAGTAAAATAAACATACATTATTTTGTTCTATAAACTAATAGAAAATTAAAATATCAGTTATTAAATACATACCTATAGAACATTACACAAATATGCAGAAAAAACGAGAACATTCTCTTCACATTGCCAATGCTATATACTAAACAGCACATACAATATTATACTAAATTGCATATAGAAAGGCAGAGAAAAAAGTTTTAGGTGACCGCATGCCAATTGTTCATCAATTTAAAGAAAACTTTCTCTGCTACTGAACATAACTCTTGTAACAGTCCATATAAAAGTTTATGGAAAACTAAAAGGTGCTAATGTAATCGTTAAAATACGTGATTTTGCACTTTATTCACCTCAAAGTCACTTAAAAACACGTTCAATTTCATTGCGTTCGTATCAGATGAAAAAATTAAATCCTTAACACTAGAATTTTATACAACTAAGTCGCATTGGAGAGTCAGGACACTGTAAAAACAAATTACTACATAAAAAGAAAATATTGTCAATTTTTAATTTCATATTGAGAAACGTGTTAACGTATTCCTCCTGAATAAGGCCGTCGATACGACCCGCCGATGGTATACATGGGAACGGGACTTCCAATGATGATTTATGTTTTGCTTCACAGTTTCATAATTCTTAACAGTCCTTATTGCACAGATTATGATGCAGTCTTTCTACGTGGTCTACATAACTGTTATTGTTTAATCGATTATAAAGCAGTGTCCTCTTTGCTAACTAATAACTTAATAAAATGCGATCAACACAGACAAATTGTAGTTATTTAGTATAAAACAATCAAATATAACACAATTGATCAAATGTTTGTCAAATGTTTGAATAGTTTCTTTAAACGCGTGGATTTTGGGTTATTATTACTTTTAATCCAAAGACATTGCCGCATAAATTAATTTTATAGTAATTAATTAATATTAATTAACTCAACTAAATAGGATTATATTGTTTCTTTCGTATTACGTTATGTGTAAACATCCTAGCACTAAAACAGAAGTTTTTTCTATTATTACTTACAAAAAAATCTTATACATGGTTGATTCACCTTTCTAACACAGCATTCCTATTACTAATACAAACTGACGAAATGGTTTTCAAATTTTCATGTTACACCTTTTTTTTTTTGAAGGGTAAGACTGCTGGTAAGGACTTGTCAACTTATGTCCCAAAGTGGAGGGCGCTGTGGCAGTGCCCTCTCAGATCTTTGCAATTTAAAGCTCTGAGTGGCACTGCAACTGTCATGGATAGGCGTGTCGCTTACCACCAGGCGCACGACTTATTTGTCCCATCTCATGATATCATAAAAAACCTTCGTAACGTGTGTATCACAAACAATAAATGAATTTAAACATATCAGTCACCCGTGACAATGGGACCTGTGCAGGGCCCGAAACGTTGGTTTGTTTGAAAAAACAAATATAGGCAAATTTAGTTCCGAAAAATAGTTTCGTTTCCTATGAATTTAAACAATTATATTTGCCATGCAAACACACGTAAGTTGTTGCATCGCTGTAGTTGTGAGAATTTCTGAATAGATATTTGTTTCAATGACAGGAATGTACATGTTGAGAGCTTTCGGGTAGTAGATACAAAGTAAAACCGTAATATGACAAAACCTGCTCAACTAATTAAAGGATAATCATAATAAACTAGAAATCTCTCTTTGTACTTAAATGATCAGCTGAAGTATACAATTTAGTTATAATTATGTACATATGATCTAAAAACTTTAAATTCGTGACCTAATATTACAGAATCGAGCATATTTGTCAATATAATTAATTGTATAGATATATTTTTTTTATTTATAATTAATTTTAGATGTTGTTGTGACCTTTTTGATGCCGGGCTGCTATTGGCGCCTTACGGACTGATGGACGCGGTTTAACAGACGATGGGTTCGTGATATGTCACTTGTTGTGAACTGCTTTACGATACCAGTCTAATAAAGTAAACCTCTATCTGGACCATGTGTTTTTCTTTTCAGTGTTTGGGATTTTCAAATAACGCGGGAAGTAATTGTAACGAATGTCACTGTTTCTTTAACAGCAATGTCAACAATAGATGTTTGTACTCTCTCACAAAGTACTCCCACAGTACTCGTTGAATAGCATAACCTACGGAAACCCCGATACTGTCGTAATATCATCATCGCCAATAAAACAAAAATAAAGGAACAAGCGTTTAAATGGAAACCGCATCGCGCCGCGTTCGGTTTGCAATCTTCATTTTTAACTAAATTAATTAAACTGAAATTTTCAAAAACGTTTATATTCAAATTCAAAATCACAATTTTTATGACATAACTTAATATACTTGTGAATCGAACTGCTTATTACAAATTCACTCGAGATTACGTCGAAAAGCTCGCACAGTAGTAACAAAGATACGGTATAGGCGAAGGATATTTACTTGAACCTCAAGGAAATAAATGTAAATAGAGTGAAAAATACCTCCACTTGAAATCTCGGAATTATAGTTTTATATTCTATAGTTTGATGTGTAACTAGCAATAATTTTACTACGTCTATAGTAGTGTGATTAAAAAAAGTTTTGCGATTGCAAGGAAATCTAAAACTATTTTGTTTTGACTTATTACCTTTTATTTTTAATCATTATGAATCGTTCCGAGATTTCAGTAGGGCTAGCACGAATAGCTAGCGACTTGCGCGAGAGCGACATAAAGCGCGAGATCTCTATGCGAGAATAGCAGCATCTCGCCCGCTGTCATGATACTGAGGGAGGTATTATCTACTCCATATATATCACTTGAAGTTTAGGTAAATATATTCTTCCTTTTCCGATCTCTGGTAATAACTAATAAATAATTATTAATTGCATATAATTTTAAGCTGCGAGTTATTTTATTCAAAGCATTGAATTTAATACACCATCTGTAGCTACCCATATAAATTCCACTGCTCGACATGGATAACAGAGTAATATTATTATTTTTTTAAGTGGCTTGTTCTGCATCTGTATATCCGTATATCATATCAGATCCGTGCTTCTTTTCTAAGGGATATTGGAGTTATTGTTTTTTCAAAGTCATTAAATTGAAGTCAATTTTAGTTCTTAAAGTTACCCACAAGAAAATGAGCCAAAATATACGGTGATGATAATAAAAATGGGTTATCTACCAAAGGAGCTTTACGGTTGAAAATCCATTGAGAATCACATAAGTTGGTCACCTTTATCGTATTCCAACTGCAATCGTTTAGTGAAACATTGCAAAGGATACAGTCCAAAGAAAGTCAATAGAACTTTACCACTGGAGGCTTTTACTAGAAAACTCAACGTCCAAAACCAGCGAATACAGCAACTCCCCGTCCCAAGGAATAAAGCTCAAAACCCACGCGACACAGAAACGCATTCAGAACCTCGCCCGGATGTAGACGGCGGCCACGTCGTGGTTCGCGTAGCCGAGCCGCTTGGCGTGCTTGAAGATCTCGTTGGTGGTGGCCGTGAGCGGCAGCGACTGCTCCAGCGCGTCGCCCAGCCCCAGCGCCAGCTTCAGGTCCTTCTGCATGTGCGTCAGCGGCTGGTGCGTGGAGTACGACGACTCGATCATGGCTGCAATGCAACGGGCCCGTCAGACTCGAGGAGCGTCGGGCGACGGTCGGAGACTAGGAGCCGACACGAACCGCGTCCCTTGAGGATGAGGTGCGGCGAGGCCAGCGGCGTGAGCGCCAGCACGTCCAGCAGGTCGGCCTGGTTGAGCCCCGCGCGGTCGGCCAGCGCCAGCCCCTCGGCCAGCGCCGCCAGCGACACGCCGCCCACCACCTGCAGCACGGAGTTCATCTTCGACGCGTTGCCGATGTCGCCTGCAACGGGGGCGCGGTAGCATTTATCTCACGGCTTGGCGTCGGGTAATCCCATGTGTTAAAATGTTCCAGTTAGACTTAACAATCCATAAAAATCAGAGTGGGCAAAGAGCGTTTGTATTGAGTGTAAATTAAATATACGTAAATTGTCGCATTTATTAATTAATTACATAACAAATATATAAGTACAAAAGGCGAAGAGTCCGTATAACACAATTTCTATCAGCTTGTCCTAACAAATTGGTTAATCTAGACATAATTACACTAATCTACGACATTTCCACTTTAGAAACATCTCACTATTATATCCGACAATCAAGTCGTGGGAAGCGTTTCCTCTTACAAAACGCCTCATCTTTTTGTCCTGCGAGAAAAGACGACCGTTGAATTCCTTCGCCTTATTAAAATTGTGCTCGGTGAAGGACTGTCTTTTACTTCTACAAAAAAAATTTTAATCACGTGACTTTATTTTTAAAGCAATTTAATAACCATGGACTCAAGTCCTCCAGTAGATTAGAGATAATAAACAGAGGAAGTAGAATTTACGATTAATTTATTATACAACAATGAAATAAACTGGATTCGATAGTAAATAATAACTGAATATGTGATTATGAACTGTATATTTGCCATATTAAAAATTGCAATTGAGCAGCTGAATAATTACCACTACAGAAACAATTGTTTAGGTGACTGTAACTCAAAACGGAACAATCAAACAGTCTACAATACTTTCATGTGTTTTCATTTAAAAAGATAAATAAATGTTTAAAAATAAATAACAATCTAACATTTGAAGTCGTTAACGTTCTAAAGATGGTAACGACCAATTGTTTTTGTTAAAATTAACAATGGCGGGTGAATTGTTCATGCTTGCTGCTTTAATGTTTACTGCTTTTGAAAAGAACACTAAAACAAAGTGATTGTCCATAATTTTCAGTGTTTTCGTTGACTGTTTTTGTTGTAAATACATTAGTGTACGAGTCAATACAATATTACGACGTTCGTTCATATAGACTGTGGCGCAATCGGATATCGGGCCTGGATATCAACTCCTCAAATAATTAATAGATTCAGGCATTACTTTATGGCGATTCATGTTAATAAAAATTGAAGTAACTTTTTGCTTTTACTTCTCCTCGAACCCAGAGAAGGAATAAATCTTGCAAAATAGCTACGCTTGTGTTGAATATTTTTTTTATTTTAGTTAAGTTTCGCACCCTCTCTCCGCATAAAATTAATAAAACAAACAACACCACAACTACAGTCACAAACACGAGAATGAATTCTTCGGCCGAACATTGAACAGTTGATTGTTCAGTCTCAACTCCTGAGGATGGCTCGTAGAGGAGCGAAACTCGTGACGGGCATATTCTTGGAGGTGGTGTTTGTGACTGTGGTCGCGTTTGTTCCATTTTTAATATCAACTCTTCGCGATTGATGTCAACATAATATGCTAAGAAAATAAAATCAAAACAATACAGTAATAGGAAGCCATCACCAAAAAAGATTTGCTTTCTTTTTAAAACGCTCTGATGTGACCACTCACAGGAAAAAATAAATAATAACTTAGCAAAAAATAAAATGTCATAAAAAAACAAAAATTAAATAAATCTTGGAACTGCACATGTAACCTAACATTCCACCACCACAGAAGCATAAATTTACAAACATTACAATGGGGGTGCAAGTAACTCCAATGGTTTAGCATCCTGTTATCAACCTAATATGAGTACCACTGCTGAGCAGCAGTCTACACCACTGGCCCAAGCACCGAGCACTTGTTGAACGCTGGTTGTAGGATATGTTGTAAAAATAGAAGATACCTAGAGCCCAAGGCCTTCGAGAGACGTTTTCAGGTCAAATCGAAATGTTCTCGAAAGCCTGAAATGCGTAGTGATAAGCAGAGCTTGTATGAAAATATTCATGAAAATAAGTGAAGCAGAAGAGGTTTGCCAGGATCGTGCAATGTGGCGATTGCTAGTCTCTGTCTACCCCAACGAGAATACAAAAGCGTGAGTATAGAGGTTATTCGTAAAATGCTAACAATCTCGCAGGTCCATATTACTAACATTATAAAGAACAACTATTTTTCCATAACTTAATAATTCATCACATGTCACACGCACTACTTATAGATCGTTTTAAACGGTAATAACTCTGTGCAAAAGAAAGGACGACGCTTGTACATTTGAACTTACTACTGAATAGAGGTCTACAAAGTGCCAGGTAGTACGGACAACAGCACATCAGACTACACATTTTTGTTCGAAAGTCGCCTCCAGTGCAACGGAAAAAGATACGTCAATATGTAGCTTGATGTGCTGTTGACTGTACAACAAAAACTTAAAAGTTATTTTTGGGAAATCTATCACTATGTTTTGTAAAAATAATATAGTCCTGAAGGGATGTTAGTATTTTCCTTTTGGCGATAAAAGATACACAATGTGTACTAGTGAAATTTAGCCCGTAATTCTAAACCATGATGCGTTAGTAACAAACAGTGCAGTTCCACGACGCCGTGAGCGGTCAAATCGTTGCGCGAGCAACCGGAGACGTGGACTACTACCGAGGTAAAAGGAGTTCTTGCTCATCGCCTTGAAGCAGCTCTGGCAGTCGTCGAACAGCGACCTGTCGCCCGCCGCTAGGATTATCAGAGTGCCTTCTTCTGCTTGCGTTTTTGATCCTTGGATCTGAAAAAAATGTGATTTCTCGTTAACATTGTTCAAATAACAACAGAAGCCTTATTTATCTACAGTTTAGCATCGTCTGAAGTTAGACATATTATGTAGATAAAAAGGTAAGAGTATAGGCTTGAGCTGGTTTTTAGCGTTTACTTTGAAATTACATAAAATATTCTATTTCAAAATACTCATATGACGTTTAGATGGGGATGAACAGAACACATAAAAATAACAAAATAATAAATAAATAATAACTATACAGAATGTTTTTTTTTAATTGCACAGTATGGGAAAATCTGAAGCCATAGAAGATACAAGGAAACTGTCTTAGGAACCATTAAGTCTTTTTGTGAAAGCAATTTTGGCATAGTCAATTTTTTGGTCAAGGGTGAGTTGTCCATAAAAATAATCATAATTTTTTTTTGTGCTAACCGACTCAGTTTCATGAATGGATCATTTCATTGTACGAGACAAAAAAAACCGGGACAGCCGAAGTTGGTCAAATTTCATAAAATATTTTTCATAATTTTTTTTAATGCTTCAGTCAGTTTTATAATCATGATTTTATTGTATTGGAAAATAATCAGGAAACCAGAAATTGGTCAAATTTAATAAAATTTGCCGGCCAGAGGTTCGCGTAGCACACATATAAAAATATACAGTTGAATTGATAACCTCCTCCTTTTTTGAAGTGGATTAAAAAGTATCGATTTACTGGGTTTAGTATTTCTTTTTAATTAGGCCAATCTTAATATATGGGTGTGAAACATGGACCCTAACGCTGAAGGAAGAACGTAAATTATTATTAGTCGCGGAACGGAAGATATTTCGAAAGATTCTGGGACCAATCAAAAGGAGAATTTGGGAAATGGAGAGATAGAAGAGCTAGTGTCCGAGGCGAACATAATCGGGGAAATAGAATCTGCCCGACTTCGCTGGCTAGGACATGTGGAAACAATGGGATATGGGATCGAGCTGCCAAAAGAGCGCATTTGGGGCAACATATGACTCATCCTCCAACTAGCCGTCCAAGATATCGCTGGAAGGAGGAAATCGCCAAAGACCTAAAGGTGCTGAATGTGTCCGAATGGTCGGTATGGCATAAAACCGACAGAAACGGCGTACTTTGATGTCGGGCGCCAGGATCCACCGCGGGTGGCTGAGCCAGCAAAGTAAGCAAGTAAGTATTTATTTCTCAATCGATACACTGTTCACATTATTATGAGACTTAGACTTTAAATACTTGAAAAGACTACAAATGCCTGCAGTCTCCAAAAAAACGGACTCAAAAGGTCACCTGTGCCTCGAGGTAGCGGCCGCCTTTGCCGCTGATGGCCTCGACGATATCATGCGATGTGTCTGCGTCGATGGACGTCATCTCCACGTAACCTTTCATCTCCAACGACGGACAGTGCAGCACGCCGCAATTTCCGAACACCATCTGTGGAACGATTTATTACTCGTGATCATTTTTCTCATTTTGACTACGTTTAATGAATGCAAATTATGCAAATCAATTGTTGAAGGGATAGAATGTAATAATAATATTAATAATAATGTGCCAGGCCACCACGCCAACTGCCTGGTCTCAAACTAGGGTATTCCCTGCACTATGAGTACCAGAGCGACGGAATTCAATATGCCGCACTTCCAGAACGTCCAGACCAGAAGCAATTTAGAAAAGATTCATTTCCTCAATTTTTTTAGTAAAGTTGCCTGCTGGCATGGGACACGTCTATTATGTTATTTAAATATAAAGTCTTTGACAACAATACTGCTCTAGATAAAAAAACTCATATCGACCCGGGCTTCGGCTTGAGTCGATTAGACAAAACTATCCAAACAATAAGAGCGAAAATTATATGCGTTTCGCGTAAGTCGAATCGCGTCGCCCATGGTCGACAACGTCTTTTTCGGTCTTACTACATAGACATAAAGCTTTTCTAAACGGCTCAAGCCGATTCCTAATCGATAAGTGTGGTGAAAACCTCAAGGTTCACGGACGGGTGTGCAATTGATGTGTACAGAAATACACACACAAGCGTTGCTATAGCACCAGATACAAAGCAATGGCAACAATGTTTCAGCAAAAACGTCTCTTAACATATAAAGGTCACGTATTAATACTGTAATGCAGCCTTTAGGCGTGCCTCGTGCCGCTTTATTTATCACTTGACATTAATTATAGCACTACACGACGTCGATTCAGACAAACTAAACTTAATTTGTTTTAAGTGTGTGCCTCTTTCATTTTCACTTAGAGAAGAATAGGAGCTTTAGAATTTTGACAGCTCTTTTATAAATATTAGATTACATCACATACGTTGCTCTGATAATAAAGTAAGTAACTTAACTACTTGTGTTATTGAAATCGGATACAACGACGATATCACAAACATTTAGACCCGAGATGATATAGAAAAGTAAGTTTTCTACATTGTCCCGGCCGGGGAATGATAAACGGTGTGTGCCATTCGGCCTCTGAGGTCGTCATGTCACATTTCTGAGTAGTCTGTCAATGACTCATTTGACAGTTGAAACTTAAATGAAGGGCAGTGGTAGCGCAGTGGGAGAAATATTGCTTCACAACTGAGAGAACGACTTCGAATCTCTATGGCGGCAATGATAACTTACAAATAAAATGTCATGAGTACAGTCAACACCAAATAAAACTAGACGCTTTGGACTTTGAATCGTTTTTAACGTAAGCAGCATAAAGTTGAATTTAAATCTTGACATGTTGCTATAGGGGTACTCCTCCTATGTCTCTCAAAAAGAAGGTGATGGACATGTGTATCCTTCCCATACTAACTTATGGCGCACAGACTTGGTCACTTACGAAGATCCAAAAGTCCAGACTCGGGATCTGCCAACCAGCAAAGGAGTGCATACTTGGTGTGAAACGAACCGACTGAATTCAGACTGCTGATGTACACCAAAAAGCTGAGAAGATGAAATGGAATTGGGCCGGACATGTCTACCGCATGCCTGAAGACCTGTGGGCCAAGGTAACCACCCGGTGGAGCCCTAAAAGTGTAAGGTGCCGCGGCAGACCGAGGAAGCCATGGCGTGACGAACTGGACGCCTACGATAAAGTTAGAGTTCAGTTAGCTCAGGATCGGGATGCGTGGAGGGATCAGGGGAGGTCTTTGTCCAGCAGTGGGATACATCAAGGTAATTGTAATTGTTGGAATTGTTGCTATAGGGATTCGAACCGTAGATATCTCAATAGAGAAGCAACGGCTCTCCCGCTGTACTACCACAGTTCAAGATTTTTAATAAATATGTCGGAATGCTCACCTCTTTAGCAGCCTGAGGGTCTGCGACGCAGGAGAAGGTGATGTCCGCCTCTTCCACGACGTCGCATGGTGTCACTGCGATAGTCGCGCCCACCTTCTCGAAATCTTTGCACTGTAGACAAGTAAAACGTATGTGTAAATAACATAATTATTACCGCCTTAACCTTATATTTACTTCAATTAGTTTTTTAAGTAGAGCAAAAGTATACGAAAATTGTATTTTCACCATAAGTTAAATATTAGCATATTATGTCCTTCCCTCTATTATTTTTTGTTTTCCTCACCTCGAATGTTTGCTAAATTATAAAGAACCCATCCAATTGAGCCTCTGTCTCTTGAGATGCAAGTTTTACCGTGTTCAAGAGTTAGTGTTGTCATTTACTGCTTCCTATTCCACTTTCTCTGTAAGTAATTTTATTTCTGAAATCGCTATATAATTGGTAAGTGTTGTAAAATTTTTGTGAAAATAAATAAATTTATTATTATTATTATTATATACAGCATAACAAGAATCGAACGCTAGGCATGAATGTTACAAAAGACAAAATGGTTTACACCCGACAGAAACTACTTTCATTGGATATTTAATGTGTGTAAATACTTTATTGTACAATAAAGTACTAAAACAAATGTTAACAATGTTAGTGTAGAAAGGCGGGCTTATCCCATAGATGGATTTCTTCCAACTATTTTTTTTTCTTTATAGTGTACATTATAATTCTGTATATATTTGGAAATCATTGTATTATTGTCAAGTTGTCACTGTATTTTATTTATATGTTTTTGTTATACTACTTTGTTTTGCTTACATATACACATATGATCACGCCGTTCACCCACAGGGGTAGGTATAAACCATGAAGTGTCCAGTCACTATACCTGTGATAGGTCTCTTATACGTCCTCCACTCACATCAGTTTCTTCATACATGATCGTTTATTGTGGCCCTTTTAAGGGCATCCCCAATCGAGAAGTATGTCGAGGTATACCTCTCCCTACATTTATGCAATAAATTATTCTAATCTATTCAATTAAGTACACATTTAATAAAGGAAAAACAGTATTTTTCTAAAGACTCATTATCTTCAATCCACTGTATGTATACATATAAACACTTACTGATGTTACTATTAATCTAAAGTATCAGTAAACTTGTAATGAAAAAGATCATTTGATCATTGTATTTACAACAGTTTATTAAACTTTTTTTATAAAAAAAAACGACCCCGAAAGTTTGTGAAATTACATCTACTTGCTAAGTTTTATTGAAATCGTGCGCGAAACTAGTTTACCACCTTTAGAGGTGGAGTATAATATAATCTTTCTCCCCAACCCTCTTTCCAACAAAAAAAATACAGTCGAATTAAGAGCCGCCTCCTTTTATGATGTCAGTTTAAAAAACCGACCAACTTGTTTCTATTGAATAGAACTAACTACATCTATCCTTTATTTAAAGTAACAAAACTTCTTAACTTCATCTCTAGATGGCGCCACACGTTTTCAATGTCAGTGCAATCGATAGACGCCAGCTGGTGCGTCAACGACCGCCCCCGGCTTGCATCCCGCCACGCGACGCGACACAACGCGATGTGCTAGCTGTGCCGCCATTTTGATAACGGGTTTTGCACTTGCACGTTCATTGACACAATGAAACACTGTGTTTCAGCGCGCTTTTTGTGGACAACTCTTTCATTGAAAAGCAATTTTCTAATAATGTATCCAGCACTATCGATTGCCGTGCAAAGTTGTAAGCTCAGATAAAGTTACACGTGACGAAGATAGTGTTTCATTTTCAAACAACTAACGATCATAAAACAACTTTTCAAGCTAAATGTCAATAAGAACATGACGCGGGAATACGTTTACAAAACATTTTAGCTCAGCAACTAGACCGGCTTCAGAGGCGATTAGGTATTTCCAATACGTGTTATAGTAACATTCCCAACCTGATGATATTCTTGTTCAACATTGTTGAGTAAATGTGAAGCTGCACTTTCGAAATTAGGCAGATATTTTTGGAAATTTAGCCTAATGAATAAAGAGTTTCTGAACTCGATATAAAACTATATTACTTCACTCGCATACACGGGAATTCGGTGGAAAGAATGAATGCAGCTATGCATTGTGACTTCTAACGAAATGTATTTGTATAGAAAGAATTTAAAGACCAGCCTACATCGTTCGTGGGAGTTTATGCAATATTTAAAGACATGATCAAAAAGCGACGTTGGCCTTTAAATAATGACAAATTGACGACATTCGTATTAAAACAATGCTTGTCTAACATTGCTTGAAAAGGAATATCGAGTCAATAGTTTATCCAGCCATTCGCGACAAAGACAAATACTGTCTCGTGGACATGAAGGTCAACGTTGTGTAAACTGACTCCCCGGCATGGCTCACGCGTTTGCAAATCAATTTTAAAGTCACCAAGTGCGAAACAATTGCTGGAATCTCAAATGGTGGGAATAAAATGAAATGGCATCCGATATAATGTTAGATTTTGTTTAATAAACTTGCTTTGAAAGTAGTTGCATGCTCGTCAGAAAACGATAAGAATCATTATTATGAGAAAGTGCCTCGTTAGAATGTTTTTATCTCACTTAATAATAACTGTAATAATAAACTTTGTCTTGTCGCGAAGACTCGGAAAAGCAATTTAAATGCGTCGATACCAGTCAATGGGATTTGTTTGTGTACAGTACACAGACACGTTATTATTGTGCTGCACTGTGACGAACTTGAACAATGCTTTAAAAATCTATTGTTCAGGCAAATTGAGATCAAAGAACCGATCTCTTAGCTCACTAGCAAAATAAAACTATGAATATTTTAAAACTTATCTGATTAGTTCATTTTTTTTATCAAGCTGACAATAAATCAGATGGGAAACTCGCTTAATCCCGTCCTTCCCACATGAAAGGTCGAAATGATTCTGGGGACTCATTAGTTACGTTAGACATATTTGGTTCAGCCAACGTGTTATCTTTGTAAGCACATGCTAAAATCTATGACTTCAGGAACACGCCCGCTTTTATCCAAATTAGGGTTAAATGGCATATGAGAATGCGTTAGAGCGGCCAATCGTAAACGAGAAACGTTGTCTATGATACGCGACCGATAAGCCACCCACAAAGCAACGGCATTATGTGGGCATTCGCCATATTCGCCCACGTTGTTGGTTTAATATGTCTTAGCAACGCCACAGCTGTTCTTGTTTATACTGCAACGTTATGCTGTAGTGATTTAAATTACGATATTATTATGAAGGCGGAAAGTACTGTCGTTTGGGGAAAAAACACCTTTTTTACAGTCGCGTTTTGCATCTATCCATAATAAAGTAACTGCAATTAGAATTCTATGAGACAAAGTATAGGTTTGACCGTGAGAAGTAATATTCCAACATGGCTTACGCATCACATCCATGGTACAATATCGCGATATTACCAATCAAAATGATGATTTTGCAATTTCGCAAAGAATAGGAGGCATCCACCTCGGCTCCATGCGCAACCAATGTTGTAACGATCATAGATTACATATGACCCAGTTGCAGTGTACAAACGTTTGGGATTTGCAACATTAAGAAAACATCGCGTGTCATAAACAGGAGCAAATTCTTCCAACTATTAAATCTAACAATATCATACATGTATTAGTGAACATAATGGGTGTTGACACGGAAACTTCGTAGCGTGGTCCCAATTCAGTAATACAGACGATATCACTCTGTCATATATTTATTAATTCACAAGGTCTCTACCTAAATAATCGTTTCTGTATACCCGAACACTTTCCTACAAAGACACAGCATAACGATTTAAGTCATTTAGTAACGCTTGACCTTATAGCAGACACTAACAACGCACAAGCTCTGGGAACATCGGGTCGATATTCGACTGGCCTTATCTCCAATCAATATCATTTATAGTCGTATGAATCAATTAATTAATTTTTTGTATTAACGCTGGACTAACACGATGGACTGGATTGTGTCATCAAGACAGATAAGTTACATAAATCTTGAACAACATTTGGAAGTGTCAAGGGTAAATTTTCTATAGACATCGAAAACATTTCTTTTTTCTTTCTAGTGGCGTGATAAAAGAAGAGGCACTTATTGGAAGTAATCGGGCGTAGGCAGAGATATATTGCAACGTATTAAACATTTGTCTATCCAAATCTGTTTATCTAAATATTTAACAATCTATTCATGTAGTAAAATAACAATTTTTAGTCAGTTTGAACGTTCAACACATACCCACGAGATGTGACTGCATACTCTCCAACATTTATCCAAATACGTAACTTGTTTTTTTTTTTGCGAGTAAATTTCTCGTACGATGACGCCAGGAAAGACCTTATGATAAAACACCAAACGCAACATTTATTAAAAAAATTAAGTCCGGAAATTTGAATTCCTTTGTTAGATCCATTGTGCCATTCCACTGCTTTCATGCTCGATTGTAATTATCATTCGACAATAGGGTGTTTATTGTTGATCCAGCACTCTTTGTTCTATGTTTTTAGTTCCGAACTTATTATGACAAAGCTTATTATGCCGAGTTATGTAATTTAGGGGAACGTATCGTGTTTTATGCAACAAATACCTCTACGTCACAAGATGGAAGTAAATTTTGAATTATAAACGATATTCTTGATGCATTAAATTTCCGATAGTCGCATAGAAAAACTTCCGTTGGCAACTGCCTGTTTAATCATTTACAATACCACGTTACTGACCCTCTTTTTTTGAAGTTGCCCTTTTTGTACGAGATGAAAAAGTGGCCAATTTGTTGTATTTCCGCCTGGGAATTGTTTCGGACAAACGCGATGAACGAACGCGAACTTTGCTACTTTTCTATTTCGCATAAAATCGGTAAAAAGATAACATTTCAAATCGCGCAAAAGTTATAGAAAGTGTTAACAACTTCGTTTTAAGTCAACTATATTCGTAACACTTCATAAGAGTCATAGAATAACCTTGAAGCTCGCAAATCCAAATGGAAGGAAACAAAGGAGTTATGAATTCGAATGAGGCTAGAATAAATAAGGCCTACGAAATACAGTTCAACCGGATGGAGGAATAATGATGAGCAAAAATATTGTGAC